AATAACTAAGACCTGGTTAAATGTATATGATTTTGATGACAGAAATTTCTTTGAAATACAGGGTTACAGGCTATTTACTAGGGATAGAGTATTAAAGAGGGGGTGCAGTGGCTTTATATGTAAAATGTGAGTTACATTCTGTTGAAGTTGAGGCTATCAAAGATAATAGCAAAAATATTGAATCCATTTGGGTTTCTACTAGTGGATAAAAAAAAAAAAGGCTTTTAGTGGGAATTTGTTACAAACCACCAAATCATACTGATGAAATTAGTGAGAAACTTTATAATAAGATTAAGATTTCTGCTGTTAGTGAAGTCATAATTATGGGTGATTTTAATTTCAGGCATATAGATTGGGAAATACTAGAGTCAAATCGTGAGACAGAAAGGTTTTTGGAAACTGTTGAAATGGCTTTCTTCACTAATTAGTCAAAGAACCTACTAGAAACAATGCTATTTTAGATTTATTGTTAACTTCAGATATATAAATGATCGAGAGGGTGGAAATTGGGGAACATCTGGGTGCAAGTGATCATTGCTCTATTAGGTTCAATGTTTTGCTGCATATGGAGATAAAGAATAATGATATTTTGGTTGCAAATTGCAAAAAAGCAAATTTTGAAGGGATGCAACAAGAATTATCTGTTGTGAATTGGCCAGCTGAGTTATTTGGAGACACTGATCAGATGTGGAAAATTTTTAAAGATAAATTTTTAAATATTCAAGGTAAACATATTCTCTATAGAAAGAAAAGGGTAGCTGCAAATAAAAAAACCAGGTAGGATCACAAAGAATACGAGTGATAAAATTAAAGAATAGCATCACAAATTTAAGAAATTTAAATTAACTGGTATGAGGGGAGACTTAGAAGATTATAGAAGATCAAAAAGTTGGTGAAACAGGAAATTAGGACATCAAAAAGGTTGGCTGAAAATGTAAAAATTTACAATAAGGATTTCTTTAAATACATTAAGGATACACAAAATGCTAGGATGGGGGGTAGGACCCTTGAGGGATGATAAAGGAAGGCTTGTATCTGATGATTATAAGATGGTTAGGTTATAAAAATTTGGTTTTTCTTTAGTTTATACTAATGAACATTTAAGCAGTATTCCACATCTTAAACAGTTGATAGATGGAAACAAGATCAAACAAGATGACTACATTAATTCTGAGATGGTTAAGAAAAAAATTGGGAAGTTTAAAAACGATAAGGCTCCTGGGCCAGATAATATTTCCCAAAGGGTTTTGAAGGAAGTTAAGGATTGGATTTGTGAGCCACTTGCTACTACTTTTTGTAAGTTCTTGAACAGTGGGCAGTTACAACTGGATTAATGTTACAAGTGGGGTACCTCAGGGCCCAGTCTTAGGACCTTTGATTTTTTTTATTTACATCAGTGACATAGATGAAAAAAATTACTTACATTTGCAGATGATATTAAGGTCTTGCGTGTTACTAGCTGTGAAAAGGAAGCTGCTGATTTACAAATCGATTTAGATCGTTCTGTGAGTTGGGAAAATAAATGACAAATGGGTTTTACTTATAATAATAGCATAATAATGCATGTGAGTTATCATAATTTGAATTATAAGTATAATATGGTTAGGAATAACCTTAACAATGTCTAACAGTGTGATTGGCCTTTGGAATGGGTTGTCTTTGGATGTTGTGGAAACAGTAAATTTAAGTGAATTTGAGAGAAAGCTTGATAAGTATATGAATGATAAGGGCAAGCTTTAATATATATTTTTTAAATTTAGTTATTAATAGTTTTAGTGTAGAGGATGGGACAGCTGAGATAGACCAATAAGTCCAATGTTCTCCCAAAACATTACGTTGTGATACATTAAAGTGTTTAAAGGGGTACTCATGGTTAAAGGGTTAATTTATTAAGTGAATTTTTTTTTCTGTTTGTGCTATTAATTCTCTTACTATGGGCTGTATAATTTATCTGTTATTTTCACTATTGTATCTTTGTATGAGTTTGGTAAATTCTACTGACCTCATAGCCACCATAAAAAATTAAGAAATTGATATAAATTATGCTTTTTTTCATTCTAGAATGACTACAAATTATAACACAAACACAAATGTTTAGTCTAAATAGTTTAAATCTTATAACATCATATATCTATATATATTATTACTTTTATTTTATTGACCTTTCAGCCATGCCTGATTAACATTACAGAAGTTCCAATGATGCGGCGCACGTGCATTCATGTTACTGTATCCAAGAATATAAAACTGGCATTTCAAAGTGACCTGTCTTGGCTGTATTCTAGTGGACTAGTATTTTGTAAAATACAGTCACATTTCAGTTATAATACATTATATGTGTTATTATTATTATTTACAAATAAGTTCTTAATTTTCAGTTATTTTTCTTAAAATATAGAACAATAAATAAAGAAGTATAGAAAACAGTTATCTCTTCTAGTTATGAACTTTGTACTCATTTGCTGCTAATCATAAGTTGTTAAGCCTTATCAAATTTCACATGTGGAGGATGTAAAACAAAATATTTTTTTAGGTTTTATTTATGTATTTTGAAATAAAAAAATCATAAATTACTATATCAACATCACAGAATTCCACTATAATTTATCAAGATTAGTAACTAAGCTGTATTTAGGTCTGAAAAATATATAATTTTTTGAGCTCACTAATGTCTTACTTTACCAGTTGAAATCTAGCATGAAAAAAAAGCATTTCCTGCACAAATACTTCACAGAGGCTGAGAAAAACCACAAGGGGGACATTCTGAGCTTTTGATTGGTTATATACACATGTCACTGGGCGAAGTAGATGTATGTAAGCAAGTATTTTCAAAAATGAAAAAGGTGAGCGGGGCCACCTTGATTGATTCAATAATTATATTAATATCTCAGAAAATAGAAAAGATGAGAGGTTCTTACCTTATATTCTAGATTGTCAATATCGATAATTTGATTATCTAATTCGTCAGAAAATATAGACTTTGTATTTCAACATCATAAACATCTAATTTAAACCAATTCTGCATTCAACGTACCATGTGACACAAAAGTCAATATTTAGGATTATTTTTTTAATATTTACTTTTAAATTAAGAAATTAACTGATGTATAATACTAAAATTATAATTATACTTTATAAGTTGATACCAAACTTATTGACATATATTCATAAAATAGTAGTTCAATAATATTTTGAAAATGAGTCTGCAAACGCGATGACATGGCCTTTGACCCATGATCATAAGAAGACCCATCTCAGTAGGGTTAACACCATGTTCAGGATTTATATTTCTCCACCCACAACTTTGCTGATTGTTTATGAACACCAAATTGTTGATCAGACCATTTTTGATTTTGTAAGGATTAGTTGTGTTTCATTTAAATTGAATATGTTTTTTTTTTCTACACTCTCTTTTTTTGGCTGGAATAACTCCTGATTTGTCAGGCTAATACTTTTCCAGTATGCTAGCTTATGGTTATTTTCAGGTTTTAGCTCACCTCCATCACTTTATTTTGTTTTATTTCTTGATACATTTTGTTTTTTATTTAATCACTTTTGGAGTTTTTCTACTTATACCTTTAAAAATATTCCAATTTCTTTGTAAGTAGTGTACTTGACTTTTAGGTGTCTGCAGTTCATATCACGTTTGGTTTGCTGTCCATCTTGTTATATTTTAGGGATTTTCACAAACTTTGCTTTGGAGCATTGAGAAGCTCCAACCTTTCCGTCAGTGGGGGGCATCCTTGTGGTATTTGTCTGTTGTACAATACGACTCTTGACCTATATACGTTACAAAATTTCATCCTTCTGGGTGGTGTTATTTTGGTGGAAATACAACATTATCAGCATTTCCATATCTCCACGTGACTTTCGCTTTTTAAATGGCTTTCTTTCTTTATCTCTATTTGAAATGTTTATACTCTTTCAGTAGTATAATTAGCTCTGGTGTTCCATGTGTTGCTAGGTTACCATCGAGGATTGATGTAGAATATGCCACAGTTGTAAATGTACCCTGTGTTTTCTGTTTCCAAAATGAATTGTTGATTATAGGATATAATGTCTTTCTTTTTACTTGTGCCTAATGTCTGTGCTGATCTGTGTGCTGTTTCTTTTGATCACATTATTGTAGCTGAAGATCTTGGTTTCTTAAGATGAATTCTCTTTCTTCTTGCTACGTTTTTCAAGTTGATGACTTTGTTTACTGTTCATCAAAAGCACATTATTTTTGGAATATTGTGTATTTAGTATTGAAATGAAACTCATGTAAGTTTCAGCTGTATGTAGGTACATCTTATTACTTGTTATTTTATTTCTGTTTGTCTTGAAAATAGTGACCTCTTCAGAAGGTATAAGTGATTGGTATCCAGTTGCATACATGTCTTCAGGATTAGAGTCTCTTGTGATATATTAGAAAACTTTATGAGCATGAAATATTAAAAAGAGACACAAAAAGAAAATGTAAATAAAACTTGATCACTGAGTTTTGAATGATACTTCTTTCTATTTGTCCTGAGCGAAACTCAGTAGAATTCTCTTTTAAGATTTGAAATGTAGGGCTTTACTATTTAGCTAGTTAGTTTGTTTGTTTTTTCAGAGAAAAAGTAAAAGCAATTGATATTCTATTATAGTTTTTAGAATTGGTATTCCAAATTTAGGATTAAATAACTCCTGGAAAAGTCACACTCAAAAAACATTTGGGCTTTCTTTAAAAGCCTGAGGCATTTTGGTGATATAACAAGGTTTAGGTTATGTTGATTCTTAAATAAATTTATAATAACAGTGTTAAGAATGACTTTTAAGTTTAAACCAAAATATATACAAATAGTGCTTCTTGTTTGCTACTTTTGAGGTAATAATATTGGCAAGCTATAATATATGAATTGTGTTGTATAATTTAACAATCACAGATACAAGCTAATAACATTAAATATTTACTTTTGTATGTATTTTAATATAAAATTGTGTTTTGTTCATTAAAACTATGTATGTAACTAATTTAGCTATTCTTGGATTCTTCAAGACATTTTGGGGATTGCATTCAGCATAAATATGTTAAAGTCTGTAAGACTTCCCAGCTTAAAGGTGAGTATTAAGTTCAAGTTCATAATATCATTATTCCTTTAAATCTTGAGAGAATTTTATCAAACTTAAAAGCTCATGATCAGGATCTATAACTGTGTGATTCTGCTGTTATAGTATCTAGCTGTTTTCACATCTTATGATAACTTGGGTGATGTTGTCATTGTATTGTTACGTATCTGCTTGTTTGTTAATTTCTGGTATAATTTCTTTCCGAAGAACTTCAGCGAGACAAGTCCCTTCTTCATTAAAACTAGTTTATTCTTTCTCGATACAAACTTTTTGTAATACACAGAATTTCCACAGTCACTTTAAACTTAACCTTTATAACACACGCTATAAATCACAGTGATTCACACACTTTACTTACGGTGCCTACTATTCGCTTGACTCAATTATCTATCTCTTCAATCTATCTGCATATCTCTCTATTGCTGGCTTTATTTGCCAGGCTTATATGCTAAAAAAGAGGGCGTCTGGCAAACACTCAGACATTCGCGCGGTTTCTCGATAATTCATGATCCTTCTAGAAGCTCCAACGAGTATGCTCCCAGTGTCGCGTGACTTCCGCTGTCCTAACAGTATGTATGTTGATTTGATATAATGTTATATTTTTAAGCAAAATGTTTGAGATTAAAAACTAAAGTTTAGAATGAATATCTTAATAGCAAGGCGCATAATGCAAGACTGTAAATGGTATAATTTTACTTTGCCAGTCTGTCAAAGCATGTATTATTTTACTGTAACCAATCTGTGAGAAATATTAGTTAAGGTTACATTTAGTTTTGTATCCTTTTCATTTTTTTTGGCACTTGAACATGGTCATAAAACTTAAAGTTGTTTGTAATTCTGTGAATTATTGTAAGGTGTTGGTGACACAGTTTATTCATTCATAGTAACCAGATAGTTCTAGATTCTCAATCACAGGCAAGATTCTATTCTCACGTGGCTCGAGAGAAAGAGACAGGCAGTATGCACTTTGTCTGTATTATTTCAGAAAGTTTCTAGAGTTTCTTATTGTTACTGTTCATCCAGACAGACACACCTTACGAAAGGAAAGATGCTATTTGTAGTCTTCAATATTTAATTAGTCTAGTTTTCAGTAAGGTGCTATTCTAGTCTTAGATCTTTGATGAAAGGTTTCTATTCATTTGTAGATTTTAGCAACTAACATATTTCTGTGAAAACTTTTTGCTTATTTCTGTATCAGGCTATTCATTTTATAAAATCTTTTCCAATATTCATGGTTGGGTCGGTTTTATATCTAGAATTTTATGTTTTTTTCAGGTTCTGCCCTGAGACTAAGAATTGTCAGTCAGTGATGAATGTTTTATATAACTGTACATAAACAGATGATTGTAATTTTCTGTCACCTTGATGTGTCTTACTTGTATCAATTTTATTATCTGGTCACACATGAAGTATGGCCTACAACACAACATTTTTCATAGTTCTTAATTTCTATCATTCTAGCTTTTTAGGTTTGTTTCACTGTGTGCATGCAATTTTTTTTCTACTGAACAACACTCAGAATAATGTTTCTCCCATGACAGCATTTATAGGAATGTGTTTTTTTCTCTCCTGACCTATTTCTTTAATCCTGCTTCATGCTTATGAAGATTTGGAAACATTTAATGACCCCCATTCGCATCTAAAGACAATGAGAAAATTGTAATATTCTAATATCTAGAATAAGAGTAACTGGAATTTGTAGAAGGTTAGACAATTTAAGGAAGAAAGTTTCAATACATCATGGCAATTAACAAAAACATGATTCATATATAGTTTGGCAAATAGAAAAATTTATTAGTATTTTATCAATTTAAATTACATTTTTTGTTTTTTAGAATTTTGTGTGACATAAAGTATGGTGTTTTAGTTATCTTTTAATCTTTTATGCACCTTGGTCAAACTTATGTTTGTAAAGGTTTTGAAGAATATCAATTAATGCTACTCATTTATTCTTTTAGATAATGTGTCAAGAATTTAGAAATGAGATAATTTTGTGTTCTGTTATTATACTTAATATTGATTTTTATTGTTATTACAAATAATATCACAATATCATTTACTGATGCAGTGATATACAAGTCCAACTTATTTAGTATTTTATGTATTTTATATAATAGAACGATTAGCCACAAAATTGATGTTCAGTAATGTTGTAACATTTCTAGCTATAGTTTGCTAGAAAGATTAACATTCTCATGTTTTGTAATATGAAATACTTTTGCAGATTTGTACAATTCTTCTAGTACTCCTTTTCTTCTATGATATCTTCTTTGTGTTTATTACACCATTTTTAACCGTGGTAAGTAAACTTATTTAAAGTTTATAAATGTTGCTGATTTTCACACTAGGTTGTGTGATTTTCTTGACAAAATTTTGTAATATATTTGTTTAATCCCCGAATTATCCTCTTGCTTTTATAAATCTAATTTGAACCAGTGCTTCATTTAACATACCACGTGACACACAAAAATTGGTTTAACTGGGTTTTTTTAATATTTACTTTTAAATTAAGAAATTAAATAATGTATATTACTAAAATTTGAATTATAATCTACAGTTGGATACCAAACTTATTGACATAAATTCATGAAATAGTAGTTCAATAAAATTTTGAATGCGAGTCAACAAACGAGATGAAATGGCCTTTGACCCATGGCCCATCTGGAAAGGGTTAATTGAAAGTTAGTCATTAGATTTTTAGATATAGATTAGGATATCTTTAAATAATTAACCTCAGCATGAAACTGTAAATTAGAATACCTTCAGGTAGCTAGCCTAAAGCATGAAACTGTAGACTGAGGTACTTTTAAATAATTAACCTCAGCATGAATCTGTAGATTATGATACCTTTAGATAATTAGCCTACAGTATGAAACTGTAAATTAGAATACCTTCAGATAATTAGCCTACAGCATAAAACTGTTAGGATACCTTCAGATAATTAGCCTGTAACAAGAAACTGGAGATTAGGATACTTTTAGATAATTAACCTACAGCATGAAACTGTAAACTAGGATACCTTCAGATAATTAGCCTACTACATGAAACTGGAGATTTGAATATCTTTATATAATTAAACTACAGCATGAAACTGTGGATTAGGATATCTTCAGATAACTAGCCTATAACATGAAACTGGAGATTAAGGTACCTTTAGATGGTTAGCCTACAACATGAAATTGCTATTTTTAAATAGTTGGCATAAGCTTTAAATACTGATGCAAACTTTTCATTCTAACTATATATATAAGGCCTGATATTGCCTGAAGGTCAGTGAACAATCTGAAAGTGTTGGGGTCACAAGTGCTCATCCTTTCAGCTGTGAGGGTGTTATAATGTGACAATTCCCCTGTTGGTTGGTAAATTGTTGTTGGTAGGTGCTGCTGGCTGGTTGCCTTCCCTCTGGTTGGCAGTTTGAAATTTGAGATGATGGCAGATAGCCTTAGTAGTTTTGCAATAAACAAACAATACCACATATATAAAAGCTTCCAGAAACAAAACTGCAACTTAAAAACAACAATTTATAGGGTTTTTGCTTTATTAGTTTTGCAATAAACAAACAATACCCATATATAAAAGCTTCTAGAAACAAAACTACAACTTAAAAACAACAATTTATAGGGTTATTGCTTTATTAGTTTTGCAATAAACAAACAATACCATATATATAAAAGCTTCTAGAAACAAAACTGCAACTTAAAAACAACAATTTATAGGGTTTTTGCTTTATTAGTTTTGCAATAAACAAACAATACCACATATATAAAAGCTTCTAGAAACAAAACTACAACTTAAAAACAACAATTTATAGGGTTCTTGCATATTGATGTTTTAATACATAACCCATATACATGACACTGTTTGTTTTTGGTACCAAACAGTGTTTACCATTGATGAAAAACCAGTTTCAACCCCCATCTTTGGCAGTGTGCATGTTTTGAGTACTGTTTCTCATCACTAATACTTTGGAAAAAATTAACAATTAAATTGAGTAACAGTAGTATTTTTCTTTTTGATTAATAGAGAAGGGAGCAATTATTTGAAAGTAATTTGTACCTAAGAGTATTTAAAAAGAAAAACTTTAAGAAATATTATGTGCAATATAGAAACAGTGTTTTTAGGAGATGATATAGGCTAAAGTATAGTAATGAGATACCCAATTGAATTGTGTGTTAGATAAATTTACCATAAAAATAATGGCTGAGAAAAACTTTTCAGTTTCTCAACAACATTTTTGATGCACAATATAACAATCAGTCATGGGGGGGTATTAAGTTGGACTGAAACCAGTTCATGGGCAAAATTGGATATGGGATATATCCTTTAATGGAAGAATTACCCACTTGCACTTTAGCACCAGCGTAGTAAACAAACACACACACACTATCATTGCAAAATACATGATATAATGTGTAAAATATGTTTCAATAACTATCTTTTGAAGTTGTTACGTAATTTAGTGATTTAATTTAGCAATAATCAGGTTGTTAGTTTTCTATAGTTTTCAAGATAGTAGAGATATCGTTAGTGAATTTTACATGAGAAGTTGTTTTTTTTCATTTGATTGTTCAAGAGAAAGATCATTCTTTTAAACTTTTAAAAGTTCTTTTCTTTGCAGAAAGGAGAAAGCGTTATGGTGGAAGTAGCTACAGGAGGAAGTAGCCAAGAAGTGGTAAGGTTATTTTTTTGTTCATTTGCTGATTTATTAATCTGTAAGACTGAATTTTACTGTTAAATGACTACTATCCTAATTATACACATGATCGGTATCTACCACTGTGTGACATTTATTGGTTCCTAATAAATAAGCAAGTTTTTAGATGCTAATTTGGTGGGTAGAACTTTTAACAAAGGGAGATATTGTCGGGAATATGCCAAACATTTAAGTCATTTAATTACAAATTAATATCTTGACAAAAAATGCTTTAGAATGTTTACTAGTTTTATCCTTACGGTGATAATAATACTTACACAGATGTAAAAAAATATTCATATTGTTATAATATGACAATTGTACTCAGCAGTCTGTTTCTCTGTAAAGCTTAATTAGATAAATTCCAATGAAGCAAACATTTTTCTGTTACTTTAATCAAGAATGGTGAACATTAAGCACTGCTAAAGCATTTAGGAAATACGAAATATGTTTGTGGATTACTAAGTTTTACTTCAGAAGAGTAAAATTCTTGTTTAGAATATTACTAGCTCAAAATTGAGAAGTTGAGGCCTTTATCAGAAGTTTCACCAAAAGTCTTTCATTGATTTTATTGTTAGTTCCTATTGGTTGGATTTATTATATTTGGAGAAGTTTCTTGCAAAGAGCTACTGAATTTTCTTGGAAGGATTAATCCAAAATATTTAAGTGTGCATGAGTTATTGATCTTGATGTGAATCTCGACTGGAACACTATAGGCACTAAGTAATGCATTCACAGATACAAGAGATCTTTTTTTTTTTGTGAGTTTGGTATATTGATCATTACAACATTATTTCTATTTCAGGTTTCTGTTTAGAATGTAGGACATTTTTAGGCTACTGCAATTTTTTCATAATTTTTAATTGATCTTTAAAAATATTTGATGTACTTGAGTTAATGGAAACATTTTTTTTCAGCAACTAAGTATTAAACTATATATAAATATGGAATGAAAGCTTTTTTTTTGAATGGGAAAAAAAAAGGTTGTTTGCTGGTCTTGGAAAGAGATGTTGCTTTTGCTAATTAAATGAAACATGGAAGTTGAGAACTATAAATCTTATAATTTAATTTATTAGTTGATACTGTACAATAGTTATTTTTAGATATTTGAAAGGGTTAGCTATAGGTATTAAGTGTTAAAACCTGTTTTCTGATATTTTATTTCACCTTTAGTGTCAATGGTTGAGCTATTCACATGTTTTCTGTCACTGCTCAATTCACTTGTATATGTTTTACAGCTTCCTATGGTGCTACGTGTACCTCACTTCAACTTTGACCCAATGTCAGTGTGCTATAAGCAGTATTCTCTACTAGGATTTGGTGACATTCTAGTTCCTGGTAAGTTGTGCTTTTATGAATTGAATTTACATTTAGACTAGTAGAAAACCTCAGCGACTATCACATCCACAAATCCCCATTTTGATTCTCAATATAATATTATCATGGAGAAATTGGGCCCTAAAGTCTGGAACTTTCACTATTAAACATGTATAGAAAATTCCCCCACTTTTCCTGCAAGTAAACCAGCATGGCTTGATGGCAAAAGCCAGTGTTTTTTATTGTGCAAGTTGAAGATTCAAATGAAACATTTTTTGAATTACATCTTTATGAAATTTTTATTAGAAATGTATCACAAATTCTGATTGATAGTTTTTCATTTTCACGTGCTGTGCGTAGTGCTGAATTGGTATACACATTACTCTACATACATCTGACAACATAGCTTCATTTAATACCTCTATCCTAATTTTACACTCAACCACAACATAGCTTCATTTAGTACCTCTATCCTAATTCTACACTCAACCACAACATAGCTTCATTTAATACCTATATCCTAATTCTACACTCAACCACAACATAGCTTCATTTATTACCTCTGTCCTGACTCTACACTCAACCACAACATAGCTTCATTTATTACGTCTATCCTAATTCTACACTCAACCACAACATAGCATAATTTAATACCTCTATCCTGATTCTACACTCAACCACAACATAGCTTCATTTATTACCTCTATCTTAATTCTACACTCAACCACAACATAGCTTCATTTAATACCTCTATCCTAATTCTACACTCAACCACAACATAGCTTCATTTAATACTTCTATCTTAATTTTACACTCAACCACAACATACCTTCATTTAGTACCTCTATCCTGATATTACATACACTCAACCACCACATAGCTTCTATTAGTGCACCTGTCATGATTTTACAAATACAACCACTACATAGTTTCCATTAGTGCACCTGTCATGATTTTACAAATACAACCACTACATAGTTTCCATTAGTGCACCTGTCATGATTTTACAAACACAACCACTACATAGCTTCTATTAGTGCACCTGTCATGATTTTACAAACACAACCACTACGTAGCCTCAATCAGTTGCTCTGCCATGATTTTACAAACACAACCACTACATAGCTTCAATCAGTTCTTCTGTCTTGGAGATTCCCTTGAATAAATTTGATTTCTTTGTGTATTCTTTGCCAGCTTATAGATGTAGTTATATAATCCTTGTATATCCGTATGGATACATATGAATTTATTTTCAGTTTTGTTTTATTTTTACAGGTCTCTTAGTTGCATACTGTCATGGATATGACTTGTTAGTTGGAAACAGGAGAGTCTATTTTATCACAACAACTGTATGTATGTAAACTCTTCATGATCTTTAGATGTAAAAACAAAACATTGGCAAATATTTAGCATTTTTCATAAACTTTTTTGTTGATTCTTTCTTGGTTTCCAGGTAATTATGATCTGGGTAATTTTTTTTTCGGTGGCCATTTTATTTTTGAGCTCTTGGTGACAATCTCAGAGGTTGTGTCAACAGCTAGATGCTGACCCCTAACGTGGAGAACAGCTTCCTCGTAATATGTAGAAATATGTTATTTGTGAAGGCTTACTGGGAATAATCATTTAGCCTAAATGATCAGAAAATGTTTGTATTTAATTCTGTTTAACTAACAAGAAAACAACAGGAGTTATAAAATAACTATTGAACTTCTATGATTGAGTATTATCTTCTGTTCTAATGTGTACATTTAAGGATATCCGGGCATTAGACATTTTAAATAGTAGATATTGCAAACACATTTTAAATTGGTCATATATATACATACAGTTGGAAATATGTTCTTAAATAGTAGATATTGCAAACACATTTTAAATTGGTCATATATATACATACAGTTGGAAATATGTTCTTCTCTATTGTATAAAAATTAACTGCATAATACAGTCATGTTGATAGTTTACATTGTGATTGGCTGTTATCCAACTAATTAGACAGTGCTACACCAAGTTGTACTATTCCCAGCATTAGTGTGGTGAATACTCTCACAACTTTGAGAACAAAAATGCCACATGACAAATGTGTAGAAATCAAAGTTTTAACAGTTGAAGACTACTCCATGCAATAAAATTGAGTTAAAATTTTACTTCAACAGGAAGTGTATGGATACTCTGAAGAGGAAAAGTGAAACTAGTACTGTTGTTAAAATAGAAGTGGTTGAAATAGAAATCTCAAACTTTTCAAAACATAATTCAGAATATACTCTTTACTTGATGTGCGAGAAACCAGTAGAGATTTTGACAGTGACATAGCTGTAAGCACAGGTGCAAATGTTACCTCCAAAAACTAGTGGCACCCTGACTGCTGATAGAAGCAGAATCCTGTCTGTCATATTATTCCTTCAAGAACAAAACACGTGGATTTCTCTATGTGATTATTACTCCTTGCATATGTTATATTCTTATCAAAATTAATACTTAACAATTTCAACATAGTTGTGAAAAAGACAGTGATTGACTCGTGCATCCCAAGAAAACTTTTCTGCTCTTCTAAATTTGGATTTCTAGACCACACCTTTCATGTTATCGGTAAATACAAGCCACTGGTTGAAAAAATTTGTGAAAGAAGATTATGAAACAAATTTGGCTAAGATACATCTGTTATTTGTTTGTCAAACTTTGTAAAAGTAGTGGAAACTGTTAATTGATTTTGACTATAAAATTATGTGTTTCATCTTCTTTAAGAACTTAAAATCTTGAATCCTCACAAATACTAATATTGCACTTTTTCTGTTAATTTATTTAATTACCTGCATGTAGTACTCAACAATATTAAATGCACCTTGTTCAGAAGTTACTAAAATATTCATTTCAGATAACTTTCATGATAAACTGCTACTGAAAAATGTGCTTATATAGATAGTATATTTTGTGCTTCACTCTAGGTAGAGTTAATTTTATATTCACATAAATTGGATTTTAAGCAGTTAACACATATTTTCTTCTGAATTTTATTTTTTAACATTCTTTTATATTTAATGTGTTGTACATATGTATATTGAGGGATGGTTTGTGATTGATGATGTGTAAATGCAGTACATTGTGTTTAACCTGGTACTTGAAATTCTGAATATATTAGATAACAATAATATGTAAAAAGCTGTACTACATCAACAATTTCCAATATTTTTTTTCTATTATTATAGTTAATTCTTGTGTATTTTAGGTTATGGTTTGGGCCTGATAATCACATTTTTTGGCCTGTATTTAATGAGAACTCCACAGCCTGCATTACTGTATTTAGTTCCTGCCACTTTGATACCTCCTATACTACTAGGTTTGGTACGAAAAGAACTTAGCCATATCTGGAATGGTTACAAGGTATGGTACATCTGTTCAGTTTAGTAGTTATATGAATTGTTTTTCTGTTTTAACAAATATTTGAGAAGACTGTAAAACAGTCAAATATGTTGCAATGAAAAACTGTCTGGATCAGTTTGAATTGCAGCCTAATGACAGATATAATTTTTCACAGGTAATTAAGCCTAACTGAAAAAACAGACTGACTTGGTAAATTTACAAACAAATCTTTAGTAAAAATACCTCATTGAAAATTCTAATTTTCTATTTACAACAGAATGTTTCATGTGTACTCAATACTTGCCATATTCCATGAAGATAAACATAGTAAATTCAGAATTATAGTAAACATTTATTCTCCAGTACAGGGCTGGTCCAAAGGACTGACCCTGTGCACTTAGAGTTAAAATTGTTGCAGTACAGGACCTCATTTGTAACTTAAAGTTGTTGATTTGTGCAACTTTTGTTGTCAAAAACTATTTTCCAGTATGCGGGTTTACCTAATCAACTCTGCCTGTTAAGTTTCTTTAATTCTTTGCTGCTTAGCTTAGATTCCATTAATTTCCTACTAAGTACATAATTGAAAGTTAATTTGCCAGAAAAAATAAAAGTTTATGTAAAGGAGAATGAACAAGAATGTTCAGTGAAGATGTATACACTGATTGGCCACTTGATAAGGATTCTCATCTACTACCAACCAAAACTACCTTGATAAATAGCATGGTTTTGTCTGGACTTAGATTCCATAAGGTGCTGGAAGGTGTCTTGTTTGATTCCCATTTGTTGTAATTGGTTCACCGATTTCAAAAGAAGATAATGATGAGTGATGAAATGTTCAAATTTTTCATAAAAACTTTCTTAAGATGAGATTCAGTGTCTGTATTGATCAAGGAAGACAACTGAAACCAGCGTGAGTGAGCTGAATTGTCCATTGTCCTCGAGGTCAGAAGTGCATCACCGTTGGATGGAGACGATTGGCAACAACAATCATTTATACTCTTTGATGTTATTCATTCTTGAAAACAAATGAAAGGACCAAACACCTGCATTGAGAACATTCCCTCCATCATTAAACCACCTTCAGCAGTTTGTTCTGTCAGTACAGAAAAGTGTGCAGTAAAATCCACCATATTACCAAACACTTTTAGTTTGTACTTTAAGCACCATTGAAATAGTGCTTTTTTCCTAGGAGGTAAGTAGTATGTGGACTGATTTTGGTTTATGACTGTTGTATAGGAGGTAAGTAGTATTTGGACTGGTTTTGGTGTATGACAGTGTTGTATAGGAAGTTAAGTGGTATGTGGACTGGTCTTGGTTTATGACTGTTGTATAGGAGGTAAGTAGTATTTGGACTGGTTTTGGTGTATGACAGTGTTGTATAGGAAGTTAAGTGGTATGTGGACTGGTCTTGGTTTATGACTGTTGTATAGGAGGTAAGTAGTATTTGGACTGGTCTTGGTGTATGACAGTGTTGTATAGGAGGTAAGTAGTATGTGGACTGATTTTGGTTTATGACAGTGTTGTATGGGAGGTAAGTAGTATGTGGACTAGTTTTGGTGTATGACAGTGTTGTATAGGAGGTAAGTAGTATTTGGACTGGTTTTGGTTTATGATTGTGTTGTATAGGAGGTAAGTAGTATTTGGACTG